TGAGGTCTTAGGATCAAAGTGAGCAGCTGCCTGGATGTTACAATCAGTCACTGCAACCACACAGTCGTCTATTGATGGACGCATCCATCACACAACCTGTCATTCTGGTACAAAGAAAACTGCCAACAGGTGACTGTATCAGTAGGTTTCAGAAATGTTTCCTGTAAGGAGAGACACACGGGATGATAGGAGTCAATCAAGGCCTTAATGTTATCGAGATTAGAATGAAAACCTCAACAGTTCCACTGTATCAAAGTGGCCATTTTTATGTAGGTTTAGGAGAACAGGGAAGAGAACCTTTTGGTTTACAACCATGCCGTTTTTCTTTACTAGATGGAGATCGATCGACCTCCATGGATCCTGCCCTTGATCGAGCAGGCAGATCTCTGTCATCAGAGTGAGAATCCAATGACTGAGGACGTGATCGAATGATCGTCCTACATTTAGGGGGCCAAAGAAGGACCCGCACAGACACTAGAGGCTGGTGCCCGAGGAGGTTGACCCAGGCAGTCACTGGAAGGAATAGTGGGGACAGAGATAGACCTATCAACTCTATTATCCATGGAGGGCAGAAGACCTCTCACATGGCATGAAAAAGACTCAGAAGGAGGCACGGAAAGGTCCGTCTGCACTCCCACTGTAGCAGTGGAGTGTAGTGCTGTGGCATATGCCCGAGATGTAGTAGGGAACAATAGCTTCCGAGCTTCTGGATAAGAGATGTTATTAATAGTCTTCAAATGCTGTACCTCTTTCTCTTCCACCCCTTAGGGCAAGACCTAAAGTAAGAGGGGTGGAACCACTACAGTTAACACAGTGAGGGTACAGTTTGCACTCACAGGAGTTATGGCCCTTGCCACCACAACGAGCACACATCACAGAACAATGACAAGATGTCTTTGAGTGACCGAACCACTGGTACTGTAAACATCAGAGGGTTGGGAATATAGGGCCGTACCTTACAGTTCAAATAACCTGCCTTAACAGCAGCAGGTGGACGTGGTGATGAAAATGTCAAAATCAGAACTGAGGTCGGCACCATAATTCCATCTTGACGAGTGGAGATCCTTCGAACTGCTGAAACTCCTTGGCTGGAGAAACCAGCAAGGATCTCTGACTCGGGGATAGACTTCAAGTCTCTCTCAACAATAACTCCTAGTGACGAATTCAAGGAAGCGTGGGGAGTAACCTCAATGGGTATATCCCCAATGGCCTTTGAATTCAAGAGGAGTTCACTGTGCTTTGCTGTGGATGTTTCAACCAAGATGTCTCCAGAATGGAGCTTCTTAACTGACTTTGGAGAGCCAGCAAGCCCCTCTAAGCCCTTCTGAATAAAAAAGGGAGACATTTGCCTTAAAGATTTATTTGACAGTGAATGCAGGATCAGGAAGCGAGGTACAGGTGTACTGTGTGATGGAGACTGCTGGTCAGAGTCTTCTAAACATAGTCATTTACCGATTAGCAGATTTTTAAAATTTTTAATTTGGATTAGGGGGATCCATAATTAAGGAGAAAGATTCAGTCCACACTGACCCCACCCGCCATGAAGTCCTACGAGGGGACGCACTACAATGTCAAACAAGGACACTGCAGCAATGCCAGGGTTTCGTGAGCACTATACCCAAACACCAGCATCAGACATGATGTCCACAACACCCGTTGAGAACGCCCAACACTGGTACTCAGTTGACCCTAGCCTGAGTGGACCAACCAACTGACCCTGGGGTGGCCACCCGTCTATAGGAATTCAAGGCCAAAGTGGTGTGTTGCAGAGCCCCAGACACCACTCAACCACCAGGATCCTCTCCTCCCCTTCACAGGTCGCCATGCATGGCAAACACGTGGGTGGATGTTTAGATCCCAGAGGAAGTAACTGAAAATACAGAACCTTCCCTGGGAGGTCCCTTCACCACGTACAGGAATCCATGTCGAGGAGTTGTAAATTTAGACAATGGGAAGACTGCCAAAAATCCACTTCTTGTGGATGGTAGTTACAAAAGGAGCAAAGTTCTTGTTAAGGCCCAAGTTGCATGCAAGACTCCACCCATCGCATGATGGCCATCACATCCTCCGACAGACAAAAGAAGTTCCCAACCCCATTTTAGTAGGCAGTCCTAGATTGAACAAAATCCTGATATTCAACCCTAGATGGTGTGGAAATGAATGTCTGTGTAATTCATGTTGTGGAAAATAAGAGCCACAAAGTCTCCAGAGACAGAATTGTTTGAAATTAGAAATAAAAACTATTTCCACAACAGCTGGTTTTGTAGATACTTCAACAAAATGTTGATGTTGAAAACTCTCATGTGATCAAATAAAAACACTTATGAACACACGAGTGCTAAATCAAGAAGAGACAATTGAATAATCAGTATAGAGGGAGTCAGCTGTGTTAAGAGGTAGCATTGCACCCCTATTGGTGGAGAGCTGTCACATGCTCATTTGCATACAATAGCATGTGGAAACGTGAGATTAGATGGAACCCTCAAGGCTAGTGGGAAGCAAAAAAAGTTTGCATATAGAGAGCAGCACTGAATTGGTAAAGCTATATGTGAAAAGAGGTTATGTATCACGTCAGAATTATAAATCCTCAATCTTAATCTTTATGATCTGAAAGTAACAAGATTTTGCATTGGAAATGGCTATTGAACACCCTTCTCAAAAGCAATTAATTCACAGCAGCATAACACAACCTATGAAATGCCAAACAATATCAATATCAGCTGTGATTGTCACATTATCTGCTGATTTGCATATTCAAATTTGTTTTAATGTATCATACTACACTCTCTGTAAAACTGGGTGAGATATGACACACATGAAAGTGTACCTAGGAATAAAAACTATTTTCTTATTCACCTTAACAATAGTGAGTAAACAATATCAACTAATTTAAAAAATGAGAATTACAATACAATAACTAAAAGCATTAGAAAAACAGTGACTCATACAAAGTACATTATTTCTCATAATGTTTATGACTGAGGACAGAAAAAAGGATTGAAGGTTTTTTTAAAAGCTTTCTTAAAATGAATTTTGTGCTTATTTGACTGTACAACTTAGTTTTCAAATATTTTCAAAAATATCTGTATCATTAACGAATTTTTTTCAAACTATGATAAATGTGTATTATACTTAACAGTGCAACTATTAAGTAATCCTTACCTGAGTTATAGGTTCCACAGATCCTACATATGTATCTGGGCGGAGCAAAATGTGTTCCAACTGTGTTTTCTTCTGGTATATTCTTTCTACTGATAACCGTTTGTTTGTCTTTTTATTATCTTTCACGAGTCCATTTTCTTCTTCCAACTGAATTGGTTGGAACACCATCTCTTCTGGTTTAGTACTATAAGCCATGGTAACCCTTGAATGTGGCTACTGAAAATAAACAAAATATATGTACATACACATTTTGTAACAATGTCTTTTAGCAATTTAGAAAAATAGGTGACATTTTATTATATGTGTCACTGAATGATGAATCTAAAATGTTTAGCATTATTTTTATAATAAAAATGGATTGTCTCTATAAGTACTTTTTCTTGCTGTATCTAGCTTCTCCATTCCACACCCTCAAAGAGCCCTTAATGTTAAGGTACATGTCAAGTTTGGTTGAGATTGGCAAGAATATAGGCATGAGAGGCAGACAAACAAATATACAGTGGCCCCCAGGAGGAGAGGTCAGACTGAATGCCTAGCTCCATATGACATTTCCCATGTGTGACCCCCCCCCCCCCCAGAGTGACACAGGAGGGATCAGATCTTAACATCTGCTTCTTTATGACACTCCTTAAGAGGATTTCTGTATGCAAAAGTTGGTTGAGATCAGTCAAAAAAGTGTAGCCGGTAAAAGCAGACACACAGACGGTACTTCTGCTTTATATAGATAGATAAAACTGCATGAATTCTAATGTTATAACCAATGTATCTCATGAGAGGGCACGTTAAAACCACTTCAGAAGCAGAGGCAAGTTTAAAGATTTTTTTAAAAAGAGAGTTACAAATTGTCTGAATGATCAATGTAAGAGATAATCAATAATTCATACCTTTTACATTGTCTCAGGGTATTATTAAGATTGTAAGAATGAAGCTAAAGAAATGGTAACAAGAAGATAACAGAGTTGTTCTTCATCAGGCAAATGTGCCTAATTTCATTAACTTTACTCCAATACATCTCTTTACATGCACATATTTGATCATGCAGTATGAATGTTCAAATCTGATTTAAATCCATAGTTTTATTTCAAATTTGAAGGCAATGCAGAATAAATTAACCTTCTCATCAAGAGCCACATTATCAGCCCAACAGTATTTGAAGTGTAAATTTAATTTTCAGGTGCCATCATCAGCTTTGTTACTTATATTTTTACATTAACCATTTCACATTGGGCTTGTGCAATTTGCAGAAATCAAGCTGTGAATTTTAATTTTACAACAATACATGCAGTACTCTGAAATTTCTTAACGTATCCTCTCTTAAACTGGTAAGATTTTGTTAAAGATCATAAGTATCTTGTTTTTATTAAAAATATGTTATTTTTTTACTGTAGTTACTTGCATTCAAACTTTTGACAAATCGAGTGCAAGGTGATTTTCATTTTAAGTACAGAAATACTTTTCTTCATCTTATAGTTTTCATATTTCATTTGCATAATCCCTAGAACCCCCTAAAATGATGTCAAAAGTTTTTTAAGGTAAATGTTTATATTTTATTTTTCACTTTTTCTACCATATCACTAACTCTAGCTATTATCACCCATGTACAATGCAATGAAATAATTAAAATTAAGAAATAGAAAAAAAATATATATACATACCTTTTAGTCTTTTGTAGAATATCTTTAAAGATTTTCCTTTTGTTAAATTTGTAATTTCAGGTTTTTCCTTTTCACATATAGTTAAATTTTAATGCTTTATTTTCTTTTGTTTCATCAAGACACAAGATAACAGTGCCCTTGAGGCACATTACTGTGTCTTTGAGAGACATGTGCAACTCTTTGGCAAAAATTTTTTTTTTCAATCCGTAACATTGTAATGCTTGAGAATGGATGCAAAGTATGATGTATATTCAAACAATGTTTAACCTTTTGATTATACATTTTAAAACATAACTAATATATAATTACCTAAAATATAAGACCTAAATACAATTTAAACTGTATATCTATAACATATTTAGGTAAGAAACAACTGTAAGAGCTATTGTTGATCAAGCAGCTAACAATACTACATTCCGTTCCATGTACTCCTTGATGACAACAGGGTGCCAATTTCAAAATAACCATTGTTAGATTATAGTGTAAAATGAGCTCTTTCTAATGACTATACACAAGTGTATGTAACATCTACATGTAGACTATGAATCTCAAACAAATCTGTTGAAGGTGGGTGTGGCACCTGTCTGGGGTTGAAAAAATTTACTACTTGTTTCAACTGTACTCATTCATAGAACTTCAAAATGTACAAATCAAAAGGTTATGTAAGCATCTAATTGTCTAGATGTACCTCTACTCAACTACCACTGTATTATTGAAAATGCAGAGAGCCAAAGTAGAGAATTTTCATATCTTGATGGTCATGTGACAATACATCTAAAGTTTTAAGTAGTTTTCTTAAAATTTATTTTGAAATAAAGGACTTAAAACTTAAATAAAGTAACACTTTGAATCCTAACATACATTATAATACTCATTTCATTCACATACATTGATAGTAATGGTTTAATGTAACACAGTGAGTAATGCAGAAAAGTGTTTAAAGGGGCACCCATTGCAAAAGGGTTAAATATACTAATACTTATTTCCTTGAACAATAAGTACATTCACTGTGTTTCCTATTTGGCTCACAGCTAATAACAAAAGTATGAGGAACACAAGTTTGTGTCTTATTTGTAAGAATTACACAATACCTAATTATTCTTACAGGTTTTCATAATTGTCAGTTTAAGAATTTTATTACATCTCATCTTTATTTTTCCTGTATTTTTACATCAACAGCACAAAGTAGGAGTAGAAATTAACTTAATCAATACCAAATGTTTGTGATCAGAAAACTTTCTCGCATCACACAAACTGATACAAAATCCACAAACCCATACTAGAATATCACACACAAAAACTCCAACATAACAGATCTGAATGTCATTGTGATTCAGAAACAGATGTACAAGTCCTGTCCTTTCAATTTAACAACAAAGGAATACGTTCATTACATACATAATTTACTAAACAATGATGAAAACCTGACTGCACTGCAATATAAAAGTCCCTGTAGTTGTACAACTGTGATTATACTGCACACTTAGACCCTAAATTGCACTCTAATTTCCACTAAGCAACATCTAATGTGTTCATTATGTTCATTAGATTTAACTGACAAAAACTAGGTAGTTATTCAACATTTCAGAAATTCTTAATTTCTGGGATTAAGGCACAGTGCAGAAATAACACAGTTATAACACAGTTTTATATAAGAAAATATCACAAATCTGACCATTAGATAAAACTGGAAATAGATTACATGCAAATTGCAGCAAGATACAAAAACAAATTTTTGTCACCCATCTTTAATTCACTTAATGAGGGAGTTCTTATATTAAATCTTAACATTTTGCATTTTTCAAGATTCAAAAAACATGATAAATACAGTGATGAACTATTCACCATCACACCGGCAATCTCACCAACTTTGAATCACACTACTTCATAATTAATAACTTCCAATGGGAGTAAGCTATGTATTTAGAGCTAAACTAAAAATCAACGTGGCCATCAGAATAGCTAATTAAATATACTTTTCATGCATTCACTTATTAAGATTAAAAGATGACCAATCCTGAAAGAAAAAGGATGCAACTCTGGGCAATGGAAATGCTGAGGCCATCTTGACAAGCACTTCAGTATTTCTAGCAATATTGAGGATGTTGAAGTGATACAAAATGGTTGGTTGGTTGGTTGGTT